ACTCCGTTTTGAAACGAGGCGGAAGAGATACGGAATAGACTTGATCGATATAATATGCGAAACGGAAAAGCATTGTGGGCCTTCGGACACATTGTTAGTGCGTGCATCACAAATGTGTGCGCAGCAATGTGAGCTCGTGTCGATATACGCGCGGGATAGAATATACACAGTCCGACCCTTAGACCCTGGTGATACAGGTCAAGGACGATCCATTCTGCAAAATCCGTTTGTCCGAACTGCATTCCTCCGGTCCGTGAAGGAAGCACGGGCGAGCGAAAGTGGCAAATGCCAGAGGGCAAAGGGGCGAGGAGAGCGGAAAAAAAAGGAGAAAACGCAGAGAGAAATATACTCGTCGGCCAACAAATCTAGGCTGCCGTTCGTAAAACAATCTAGCCCGCTTGTTCGATAAATATTGCCTTCTCCATTGTGTGCTGGGAGTTGACTTTAAGCGCGGAACAGGATGGCGTGAGAAAGAGAAACGGGAGAAGTTGCAGGAAGGGGAGGAGGGAAGGTGAAGGAAGGGGAGAAAGAGAAGTTGGAGTCGGAGAGGACGAGAAAGGGTGGTTTAAGCACGAATTAAACTGTCTTTCTGCTTCATAAATCAATGTAACGAGGGAATAATAGTGGAGTTAGATTTGAGACGGCCGTATTATTAATGAATGCGTAACAGCCGCCAGATCTTCTCGTAAGCACTTCAGGTTCCAAATATTCGTGTAATAATGACAAATAAATGTGACGTATGCGCCGGGAATGGCGAGACGCCACCGTTGCGAAAATCCTTTCTTTTTCTCGGCACAAACGTAGCAATCAGGCACAATGACTTACACTATTTCGAGCATTTGAAAAATTTCGGATAAATCGGAGGGAAAAAAGAACGCGACGGGTCGGATTAACGAATACGAGAGGGAGGGAAAACGACGCACGTGATGAAATCCAGGATTTATGGAAATAATATTGATGAAACAATATTGATGAACGGTTTTCATATCGTACTCTCATCTGCATCATCTTCGAACTGCGAACTCGTCAATGGACGAAGAAGACAACGTCGCGTGCGTGTATACATACGTAAAGGGGACGTCACGTTTTCGCATAGAAAAATCTTGTTCAGTTTGTTAAATGTTATAATCAACCGCGCGAACTTGCTCTGCTCCCGATTCTGGTCGCGTGGTGATTTTTGCTTGATGGTTAAATTTTAATCGATTTTAATGCGTCCCGTCGTGTGGGGGTGCGAGCTTGTTTTGCAAATGTATTCGCAACTAAATTAGTAATTAACAGACTGCCGCGAGTGAGTGGGGACGGAGGTGAGGGACGGGGGAGGGAAGGAAGGGGAGTTTCGAACGTGCGCGGTTTCGGAGCAAGGTCGGAGAGGCCGTGATCCCAGCTTCCGTGGCAGGCGAGTCCGCGCGGACGCGGCTCGGTTATCGAGAGGAAAAGCAGCAGCGTTTGACATGGTGGTGTGATATGGGTCAAGGCCGCGGGTCGTAAAATCGAGGTTTTCGCTCGCGAGACGGAACGAGAATTTTGAGAAGGGCCGGGACACGTCCGCGCGCGGAATGCCGATCGCGTTCCGAGCGCGGCGAGGAAAAACGACGTGAGGATGTCGTCGGCGTGCGTTCGCGCATTCCGGTGGATCTGCAAATATTGTATTTACGAAGCAATCCCGCTGCCGTGTCACGAGGGAGAGAAAGAAAGAGAGAGAGAGAGAGAGAGAGAGAGAGAGAGAGAGAGAGAGAGAGAGAGAGAGAGAGAGAGAGAGAGAGAGAGAGAGAGAGAGAGAGAGAGAGAGACGAGTA